TTGGGTTTTACGACTTTTTCCTTGAGCGTCGCCATAAACTCATTTTTACAACTCGTTCAAACAAATTCATATTGTGTTTCTTGGAGAAGAAGGTGCAATAATCTATAAAAAATTGAAAATTAAGGTAACAAATTTATGCAAAAGTGCGTTCGTTATGTGAAGAAGAGGGTACTCGCTGCAGGTTTTCACGTTCTAAAGTAATAGTGTAGAAATTTTTCACCCGATGCGTAGCCGGAAGTTGCTGACAAAGACTCTTTTTTTATGAATGATTCAAAAAAATAAACAAGCCTTCGTTTTCTAAATCACTAACCTATTTTTATTAATTTAGAACACTTTGGAAATAAAATGCGATTTAACGTGTCGAAATTTATTTACACAAACTTAGTGCAACAAATTTATACAAAAGTAAGTTCATTAGATGAAGAAGAGGGTACTCGTTGCAAATTTTTACGTTCTAAAGTAATAATCTAGGAATACTTACACCCGAGACTTAGTCGAGAGTTGCTGACAAAGACTCATCGTTGTAAATGACTCAAAAAAATATAAATAAAAAAATAAACAAGCCTTCGTTTCCTGAATAACTAACCTTATTTTCATTAATTTACAACAAATATAAAATAAGTACCTACTCATATGATTTAATGTGTGGAAACTTATTTACACAAACCCAGTGCAACAAATAAGTATATATAAAAGTACATCCGCTAGATGAAGAAGAGGGTACTCGCTGCAAGTTTTCACGTTATAAAGGAACAGTGTCGGAATATTTACACCCGAGGCGTAGCCGAGAGTTGCCAAAAAAGACTCATTTTTATAAATTACTCATTCAAATATGGATACAAAAATGAATAAGACTTTATTTCATAAATAACTAACTTATTTGTTTTTATTAATTTACAACAATTTAAAAATAAATGTAATTTAATGTCTGGAAACTTATTCACACGAACTCAATGCAACAAATTTATATAAAAGTACGTTCGCTATATGAAGAAATAAATAGAGTGTCAATGAAACTTGCTGAAAAAAAGGAAAATGAAGGAAAAACTTATACTGGGTGTGTGGAAAATGGCGGATTAACTCTTCAGTACGCAAGTAAGCTCGTAATCTTTCTAAATTTTGATAATTTTTTGTTGGTCCTCACTACCTGCTCAGATAAAACTGAAATAAGATCGATTTTGGCAAATGACATACCCGCCAAAAAAAATAGAGGGTGGGCACTTTTAATATCGGCTTAAATAAGACCGATTTTGACAATCGACATACCCTACAAGAAAATAGTCGGTGGGTGGGCGGGGCTAGTTTCTGCTAAGATAAGACCGATTTTGGTAAATGATATACCCTCTAAAAAAGAAAGGGTGGGTGGGCGGGGCTAGTTTCAACTAAAATAAGATAGATTTTGGCAAATGACATACCCGCCAAAAAAATAAAGGGTGGGCACTTCTAATATCGGCTTAAATAAGACCGATTTTGGCAATCAACATACCCTATAAGAAAAGCAAGGGTGGGTGGGCGGGGCTAGTTTCTGCTAAGATAAGACTGATTTTGGCAAATAACATACCCTCTAAGAAAAGAGAAGTGGGCGAGGCTAGTAGTTCCTAAGATAAACCCTATTTTGGCAAATAACATATCCTAGTTCTTGCTAAGATTAGAGTAATTTTGGCAGATGAGATACCCTCTAAGAAAAGAGAGGGTGGGTGGGCGGGGATAGTACCTGTTAAGATAAGAGTAATTTTGGCAGATGAGATACCCTCTAAGAGAAGAGAGGGTGGGTGGGTGGGGCTAGTGCCTGCCAAGATAAGACTAATTTTGGCAAATGACATTATATTAGAAGGTACTAGCCCCGCCCACCCGCCCTCTCTTTTCTTAGAGGATATCTCATTTGCCAAAATCAGTCTTATCTTGGCAGCTGGTAGCCCCGCCCACCCACCCTTTCTTTTCTTAGAAGGTATCTCATCAGCCAAAATTACTGTTACCTTATCAGGAACTAGCCCCGCCCACCCACCCTCTCTTTTCCTAGAGGGTTCCTGCTAAGATAAGAGTAATTTTGGGAGATGAGATACCCTCTAAGAGAAGAGAGGGTGGGTGGGCGGGGATAGTACCTGTTAAGATAAGAGTAATTTTGGCAGATGAGATACCCTCTAAGAGAAGAGAGGGTGGGTGTGCGGGGCTAGTACCTGCCAAGATGAGACTAATTTTGGCAAATGACATTATATTAGAAGGTACTAGCCCCGCCCACCCGCCCCCTCTTTTCTTAGAGGATATCTTATTTGCCAAAATCAGTCTTATCTTGGCAGCTGGTAGCCTCGCCCACCCACCCTTTCTTTTCTTAGAAGGTATCTCATCTGCCAAAATTACTCTTATCTTATCAGGAACTAGCCCCGCCCACCCACCCTTTCTTTTCTTAGAAGGTATCTCATCTGCTAAAATTACTCTTTTCTTATCAGAAACTAGTATCGCCCACCCGCCCGCTCTCTTTTCCTAGAAGGTTCCTGCTAAGATAAGAGTAATTTTGGGAGATGAGTTACCCTCTAAGAGAAGAGAGGGTGGGTGGGCGGAGTTAGTGCCTGCCAAGATAAGACTAATTTTGGCAAATGACATTATTTTAGAAGGTACTAGCCCCGCCCACCCACCCTCTCTTTTCCTAGAGGGTTCCTGCTAAGACAAGAGTAATTTTGGCAGATGAGATACCCTCTAAGAAAAGAGAGGGTATGTCATTTGTCAAAATCAGTTTTATCTTAGCAAGTACTGATGGCTAACTTTTAAGAAAAATATCAAAATTTGGAAACATTACGAGCTTACTTATGCACACAAGGCTGGAATTTAACATGCCCTCTAAGAAAAGAGAGGATGGGTGGGCGGGGCTAGTACCTTTTAAGATAAGAGTAATTTTGGCAAATGAGATACCCTCGAAGAAAAGAGAGGGTGGGTGGGCGGGGCAAGTGTCTGCTAAGGTAAGACTGATTTTGACAAATGACATACCGTCTAAAAAAAGAAAGGGGGGTGGGCGGGGGTAGTTTCTGCTAAAATAAGATCGATTCTGGCAATCGATATACCCTCTAAGAAACGAGAGGGTGGGTGGGCGGGGCTAATACCTGCTAAGATAAGACTGATTTTAGCAAATGACATATCCTCTAAGAAAAGAGAGGGTCGGTGGGCGGGGCTAGTACCTACTAAAATACGAGTGATTTTGGCAAATGACGTAACCTTTAAGAAATTTAATTAAATTATTATGAGAAAAAACACTAGAGGCAGTTTCAAATTCTCTCCAAACAGGAACCCCTAGAACCTCAAGATTGTTTTAAATTTTTCAAAAAAAAGGGGTCCCAAAATTAACGCAAAAACAGGTCAGGTGAGAATTTTCCAAAAACAGAACACCAAACTCCCCCAAAATTGTTTTAAATAATTTACTAAAAAAATTTCCATGGGCTCCCAAAATAATAGACCAAGGGTAGCCAAGAGTCTCCCGAATTTAAAAAAAAAACACAAGACTTTTTCAAATTCGTAACAAATAACACTAAAAACTGAAAAGATTTTTTCAAGTTCATCCAGCAACAAAACCCAGATGCTTTTAAAGGGACCTAAAATTAACTCTGAACATTTTAAATATAGGGTGTTGAAAACTTTGACAATTTTTGATACAACATTTTCAACTGCTTATTCGATTTTTGCTGATTTGTACCTTCGCTTTATATAAGGCAAACAGTGTTGTCAAACGGAATTTTATAATATTATTACAAAAACAACACAATTTTTCAGACACCCGGTATAGAAAGAGGAAAATTTTGATAGCAATGTCTAGAGAAACAAGCTTTAAACAAGAACAAGTAAAAATTAAGGGCCTAAGAACATAAGTATATTAAAAACAAGATTGGTCTGCGTCTATTGTGAAGAAGAGGGTACTCGCTACATATTTGTCTGGTCTAAACAACTTTTTTCCTTTCGTTTATAAAAATTTGAAAATTAAATTCATTTTAGTGAGAAAAATGTTCAATCGGGGACATTTTTATGAAAGAATAGGTGAAATTAAAGGAAACGCAAAAAGAGACGAAAAAATCTTTATAAAAAATTATAGACAAAAATTTTGGTGTTAAATATTGATATCAACGCTCGACTGCGCCTCCCTTCAATTTGATTGACTATTAAGTATATGTATATTCATATAAAAGTAAAATCACAGTATGTTCGTTGTGTGGAGAAGAGGGTACTCGTTGCAAGTTACTGTTTCATAAGCTTTTGCCATTGCAACAAATAAGTAACAAGCTATGAATACATTTTAAATATTAGGTATTTTTTGAGAACTACAGGTAAAAAAAATAAGCAGATCTCGTCGATTGTGAAGACGAGGGGAATCGCTGCAATTAAAAAATATAAAATTGAAATGGAAATATTGCACAATTGTAAGAAAAGTATAAAGTATAAACAATTAATTGTCGATGCTTTGTTGTTCAAAATTTAACTCAAAAAATAATCCTTCAAGTGAATAATCACTTTCTCAAATTGAATCACACCTGTGACGCCTGTTTATCATAAAATTAGTAAATGAAGTTACTGCAAAGAAAACAAACGATAAGATAACGTAATTACTTGCGATTTTTCCTGTGTTTGTCTCGCTTCGACGTCGATAACAAAGCTAATACACCTGTTTAAACGATATTAAATCTTAGATTAATCATCGATCGTTATCACGCGACATTAAGAAAAAAATAAAAAAATATACATACTAACTTAAATCTAGAGTAGGTATAAGAAAAAAAAACGATAAACAAAGAAAAACCAACTAAGAGTGGCTAATTATTATAAATTGTGTTATTCTATAATCTCCACAGACACCTGAACATTTTGATAAGCATTTCTCCACATCTGACACCTTTCTCCGAACAGATTACGAAAATCCCTCAATCCCCGGGTCATTGTATTCACCCACCTTATTACATAAACCATATCAGATAAGAACACCTGGTGTACTACTATAGTCTTACAATCACAACATTTCCTAAAACACTCGATTTTTATCACGCTACACCTATATAAACTCCTGCATTGTACATCCGTCACCGCAGCCATCACAATGAAGACTTTATTAACCTATTCGTTTGTAATCTTCGCCGCTTTCTTCATCCACGTACAAACAACGCAAGTGGACCAATGTAAGTTAATTTTTTTGATTACACTTTTTTTTTATTTAACCCCGGTCCAGGTCAGAACATAATCGCCCCTTTGCCACTAGAAGTCGACATCGTCAACTGTATAGTGCCGTCCTGCGTGTTCTACATTAATTCCACCGGTGTCATGAATCTGAAATTCATAGCACGTGAGTTTTCCCATTAACAGTAGAAGTGGGACGATCGACGGTTTTGTTTTAGCTCGGTACTTGGAGAACATAGCTCCTGCTGCTGTGGCGACCGTGGCAGGGCTTAACGTTTCGTACCCCCTACAACAACCAGATGCCTGCGTGGGCATCACCAACACGCCGTGTCCTCTAGCCGAAGGAGAATACGTGGAGTACACTTACTCCATGTTCGTGCTTCCTCTATTCCCACAAATTGATTTAGAATTGGAATTTTCGCTTCAGGATTTGGACAGACACAAGGAACCTTTTGTGTGCTTTAGGGTGGCGTTGTCGCTTAAATAACCATAATAATAATAACATTAACTTAATATTGTTCTATTTGTAACACTCGAGCACGTTGTGTGACCACTTTGTATAAAATTATTTTAAAATTTTACTTTAACTTTTAAAGTGACAAATAAAATGTTAAAGAAATTTTCTATCGCAGTTTACTATATTCTTTATATTTTAATCCTGAGATGGCCATGACACATTTTTATCCGAATAAAGTGTCCCAAAATAAAAATATAATATCAATTTGTGAAACAGTGTTGCCAAATTTACCTCACAGCTAATCAAGGCATCTAGATATATAAAAGAAAATCGCCTTGTTGGAACGAATTAGTAATGTCATTTACGTAAATTAATTAATTAAGTAATTAATTAATTATTCCAAGTCGAACCTTGCTAAAATCAACTCATCTAAAGCAGTTAGGGACATATACCGCAGTTAAAATATTGTATTTATTTTACCTAACAAGTTGTGCAGGACGTTACAAAACAATGTTAATATGTATTACAGTTTTATAACATCAATGATCACAGGATCGACGTAGGTCATGGAAACGTGCCGCCTCTCAGTTTTAGACTTTACTAAATGCCCAAAGACTCACGACAAATGCTACACGTATCTATATCACTGGTTGCCTAAATGCTTCATATCTTAAAAAAATAAAACTAATTATTGGATCAACGAGAATTAGTGTAATTAGGTAACAAATGACATTAATGACAAATGAGAGCTGTCATATTGTGTTTACTGATCCCCACCAATAATGGGATAACGTTTTCTCCAAATTTTACAATAGTAAATGGTGATTAAATTTTATACAATAACGTACTCCTCTGTTTATGGTTTATGAATCTGTGTTGAGTTTTATCTTAGGCAATCAGATTTTTGGAAAACAAATCAAAATTGTATAAGAACATTTTACAATTTAACTTTCAAATTGCAAAATCAAATACTTTGAAATCTTGGAAACGTATGAAAGTATGATAAATCGTTACAATTTTGTCAAATAGATGGTATTTAAATGTTAAAAAGCAACATCCTGAACTTGATGTTTATGAATTCGTGTTAAATTTGTATAGAATTTTTAAGAAAAAATCAAAATTATAGATAAAACGATTTTTCGATATCTCAATTTTTCGAATTTTCGATTTTTCTGTTTTCGATTTCTCAATTTTTCGTTTCTTCAATTAAATTTTTAATTTCTCAACTTCTTAATTTTTCAATTTTTCAATTTTTCGACTCTTCAGTTTTCTAAAATTTCAATCGTTCGATTCCTCAATTTCTCGATTAATCTATTTTTTGATTTTCTCATTTCTCGTTTTCTCGATTTCTAAATTTTTCGATGTTTCAGTTTCGGGATTTTTAAATTTTTTGATTTTTCAATGTTTCTTCCATATTTCAATTTTTTCGTTTTCCAACTTTTAAATTTTTAAATTTTAGATCTTTCAATTTTTTTTTTAATTTTTCGATTGCTCGATTATTCAATTTTTCGAATATTTTGATTTTCGATTTTTAAAATTTTTGATTTTTCAGTTCTTTGATTTTTTCAGTTTTTTGTTGTTTTGGATTTCTCGAATTTTCCATTTTTTGAATTATTAGCTTGAGGTTTTTTAGTTTTTCTATTATACGATTTTGGAAATTTTTGATTTTTCGATTTTTCAATTTTTCGATTTCTCCATTTATCAATGTTTCAGTTTTGGAGTTTTTCGATTTTTCGATTATTTGATTTTTCTTTCATTTTTCGAAATTTCAGTTTTGGGATTTTTCAATAGTTCAATTCTTCTTCAATTGTTCGATTTGTCAATTTTTTTAGTTTCAAAATTTTAGATTTCTGGATTTTTCATTCCTTCGAAACTTTTTCGTATTCTTAAATTTTAGATCTTTTTCTCGATCTTCAGATTTTTCGACTTCTTGGTTTTAGATTTTTTTAATTTTTCAGATTTAAAATTTGTCCATATTTAAGTTTTTCGGCTTTTCCATTTTTCGATTGATCGGAATTTCGATTTTTAATTTTCCGATTTATTGATTTTTTTTAATTTCAACTTTCCGAAATCACAATTTTAGATGTAACAATTATTCGACTTCTCAATTTTTTGAATTTTCAGTTTTGTGATTTTTCACTTCAATTCTTCAATTTTTCGATTCCTCAACTGTTAGATTACTTAATTTTACAATTTTTAACATTTCTAAATTTTTAATTTTTCGATTTCCCAATTTCTCCATTAATCGATTTTTTGATTTTTCTATTTCTCGATTTCTCGACTTTTCAGTTTTCAATTCATGGATTTTGATGGTTTTGATTTTTCGGCTTCGATTTTTGCGATGTGTCAGTGTTGGAAATTTTCAGTTTTTCGGTATTTCAATTTTGTAATTTTGCAATATTTCTCGATTTTTCAATTTTTCGATATTTTAATTTGTTCATTTTGAAATTTTGAAATTTTTCCATTTTTCAGTTCTTCTTGTTTCATCTTTGTTTTTTCAACTTTTCGTCTGCCGGATTTTTCAGTTTTTCTCTGTTTTCGTTTAGGAATATTTCAATTTTTTTTATTTTTCAATTTTTCTTCCATTTTTCCGTGTTTTGATATTTCAATTTTGAGATTTTTCAATATTTCGATTCCTCAATTTTACATTTCCCAATTTCTCGAGTAACTGATTTCTTTATTTTCCCATTTCTCGATTTCTCGACTTTTCAATGTTTCGGTCTTTCAATTTTTCAATTCTTCCGTCTTTGCTTTTTCTACTTTTCGTTTTCTAGATTTTTCAATTTTTTGATTTTTAAATTTTAGATTTTTCAATTTTTCCATTTTTTGATGATTCGATTTCTTAATGTTTTAGTTTTTCAATATGTATTTGAATTTTTCGAATTTGAAAATTTTAAATTTTTCAATTTTTTTTTTATTTATTGAGGTTGCAATATTTTGATTTTTGGTTTATTCACTTTTTTGATTTATCTATTTTTTGTTTTAAATTGTACAGTTTTTCAAATTTAAAGTTTTTCGATTTTTCAATTTTGCAATATTTCAGTTTTGAAATTTTCCAATATTTCGATTCTACATTTTTCGATTTATCAATTTTTCGTCTTTTACATTTTAGCTTTTAACATTTTTCGATTTTTCAGTTTTAGATTTTTCGGTTTTTCAATTTTTAATGTTTCTAAATTTTTAAATTTTCAAATTTTCGATTTTCCAATTTCTCGAACCATGGATTTTTCGATTTTCGATTCTTCAGGTTTCTGATTTTTCAATTTTTCGATTTTCGGTCATTAATTTTTTGACTTCTTGTTTTCTGGATTTTTCAGTTTTGGAATTTTTCAATTTTTTCGATTCTCCAATTTTTGTCCCAGTTTTCAGTTTATTCATATTTCAGTTTTGGGATTTTTTAATATTTCGATTCTTCAATTTTCAGATTTTTCACTTTGTTGATTTTTAAATTTTAGATTTTTCAATTTTTAAATTTTTTGATCATTCGATTTCTCAATATTTCAGTTTTTCACTATTTCAAATTTTCAAATTTTTCGGGGAGATTTCGGTATTTAGATTTTTCGTTTATTCGATTTTTCGATTCATCGATTTTTTTTTACTTTGAATTTTTCAATTATGCAAATTTAAACTTCGGTTTTTCGATTTTTGTCCTATTTCATATTCTCAATTTTTCCATATTTCAGTTTTGGAGTTTTTCAGTTTTTCGGCATTTCAGTTTTGGAATTTTTCAATGTTTCGATTCTTCATTTTTCGACTTTTATATTTTAATAGCTCTTTAAATTTTTCGTTTTTGATGTTTCGATTTCTCTATCTTTCGATTTTTCAAACTTCTCTAAGATTTTTCGGTTTCTCAATTTTTGACATTTCTAAATTTTCAATTTTTTGATTTGGCAATTTCTCTAGTAAGCGATTTTTTTGTTTTTCCATTTCTTAACTTTTCAATGTTTCGGTCTTTCAGTTTTTCAATTCATTAATTTTTCGATTTTTCAGGTTTCTGACTTTTCAATTTTTCGATTTTCGGTCTTAAATTTTTCGACTTTCGTTTTCTGGATTTTTCAGTTTTTCGATGTTTCAGCTTTGGAATTCTCCAATTTTTTCGATTCTTCAATTTTCCTTCCATTGTTCAGTTTTGTTTTTTTTCAATATTTCGATTCTTCAGAGTTTCGATTGTGGCCTATTTCGAATTCTCAATTTTTCGATTTCTCGATATTTCAGTTTTGGAGTTTTTCAGTTTTTCGATTCTTCACTTTTCAATTTATGTATTAATTTTTCGACTTTTACATTTTAGTTTTTTAAATGTTTCGATGTTTTATTGCTTCGATTTTTCTATCTTTCGATTTTTCAACTTCTCGGTTTCAGATTTTTCGGTTTACCAATTTTTGACATTTCTAAATTTTCAATTTTTCGATTTAGCAATTTCTCTAGTATAATCGATTTTTTTATTTTTCCATTTTCAACTTTTTAACGTTTCGAACTTTCAGTTTTCCAGTTCTTCAGTTTTTAATTCATCAATTTTTCGATTTTTCAGGTTTCTGATTTTTCAATTTTTTGATTTTCGGTCTTTTATTTTTCGACTTTCGTTTTCTGGATTTTTCAGTCTTTCAATGTTTCAGCTTTGCATTTCTCCAATTGCTTCGATTCTCCAGTTTTCCATCCATTTTTCAGTTTATTGATTTTTCGAGATTTCCATGTTTCAATTTTTTGTTGTTCAATTTCTCGATTTTTCGTTTATTAAATTTTTTTAATTTAAAATTCTTCAATGTTTCAAATTTGAACTTTCTGATTTTTCGGTTTTGGTCTATTTCGATTTCTCAATTTTTCGATTTTTCGACTTTTCGATTTCTCAATCTTCTTGATGTTTCATTTTCTCGATGTTTCATTCAGTTTTTTCAGTTTTCCGATTCTCCAATTTTTGAATTTTTAATTTTTGCGATTTTTTAAATTTTTGGATATTTTAATTTTAATTTTTTTTTAATTTTGCACTTAAAAAATTGAAGGATAATTGTAAGAATATTTTACAGCATTTCTCAATGTCTAGATTAAAAACTCAACACACATTCATAAAGCACAATCATAGGAATATCTAATTTTGTAAAATTTAAAAATCATTACTAATGTAAATTTTGGAGGTGACGTCATCTTACTCTCGGTAGGGATAATTAGCAAAATTTTGGTTAGCGTTTTACCATCTACAAAATATCCCAAACACACACAAAATTTGACAACAATTGGTCCAGTAGTTTTGAAGATAAAATAAAAATTTGGACAGACGCCAGATAGACAGACAGATAGACAGACGGAAGCGGGAGACCTGTTTTTTCATACTTCTTTACACATTCGGGGAATAAAAAAAATAATTTCGAACCAAATACGTATTTCCAAAATCTTGTTCTGCATCCATAAACACGAATTATATTTCGTTGAGTTAGTGCGTCATTTTTGAATCACCGTGTATCTAGCATTTATCAAGGGTCAATCTTAAGGCTTGCTTAATTTTTATTTTTGATCAACGACGTCACTAATGAAATTTCTCATGGATATTAACATCACTTTACAAAATGGTTTAGAGTAGGTTATTGCATGGTATGACAAAAACAAAGCTTATTCTAATATAGAAAAGTGTTTCATTGTGTCATTTAGTAGAAAGAAAAGTATCTTTCTGAATATTGTTAGATATCTGATGATTTTAGATTATTGCTAAATGTGCCACATTTAACAGTAAATTTTGTTTAATGAGCATAAGGTGTTATATAAAGAAATTCTATTGATTTTTTTAACGGAACTTATCATGCAGAAAATTTTTTCGTCACTAGTTCTAGATTATCTGTAATCCATGACTAAACTAGAGAAGTTTTCTCTTTCGAATTTTTTTTTGAACACTCACACTCTTTATTAAACGCTTGCAAACGAAGAAATCTTATCTTATCTCATCCCTTTTGCCAGGTACCTACCCACCAACCCCTGCAGCGGAAAAAATAGATACAGGATGTTTAACAACTGTTTTATTTTACAGTACATGAATACATAGACACTAAAAATCAAATTTCCAAAAACACTACTCTATTACATCGCCGTCCAAAAGCTCAACAACATAACCACAAGTACTTTAAGTCCAAACTAAAGTCTAGTGCCACTACAGCAAAAATTTTTCCGGCTCTAACCCGATCCGTTGGGCAAATCCTCCAGCTGAATTTCCACTCGAAAACACTCAAACTGCTCATTGTCTTGGTCTTTATCGACGAGCGCAAACTCAAGAGTGAAGCTTATCTGAAACAGACACCTCTGTAGACTAAATTCCTAAACGCCACATCACTACCTTGGGAAAGATGGGCAAAATATACATAGAGTACGTGTACTCGATGTACTCGTTTTCGGCCAAGGGGCACGGGGTGTTGGTGACTCCATCGCAAGCGTCGTCTTGATCTAGAGGGTAATCTACCTTGATCCCCATGGCGAGTGCAACAGCATTTGGTGCGAAATTTTCCATATAGCGGGCTAGAATTGAATTTTTGAAAACACAAAAACCCCTCTTTGGAGTACTCACGCGATCTGAATTTCATGGTCATGGTGCTGTTGCCGCTTATGTAAAAGATACACGGGGGGGTCAAGCAGTTGGCGAGTTCCACTTGGTCTGGAAGGGTACCATTGCCGAGAAGACCTGAAAGGGTGGATTAGTGGTAGTACTGGGTTTAATTTATTTTTTTACAGTGATCAACCACGGTTGCGTTCACTACGTTAAGCACTACTAGGATGCCGAGAAATATAACGAAAGTACTGTTGTTGGTAGTTTCCATTGTGGTAGGTTACGTGCACTAACCAGAAGTACTAACGGGTGCCTTTTTATAGACGTTCTTATCAGATAATTGAAAAATTCGGAAAGGTCTGGCTTAATCTGGAGTGTGTGCAGACCGCTTGGTAACAATTTAGTTACTATTCATTTATTACGTTTAATTTTTATTTTTTGTTATTGTTGTTATAATTTTTTTTTGTTTTTAGAAAATTAGATAGTATTTTATTGTTGTGGACAGATTTTTGGCTTAGTTTGAATTGAAAATAAATTATTCTGTGAGGCTGATAATTTTTTTATGTCTATTATTAGATGTTGCTGCAATATTTACTAATACTTACATCAGCACCTGCAAACTAAGAAAGATAAACGATTCAAAAGTACTCGTTTTAAAGTAAATTCTCAGTTATAAAGTTAGTTTTCTTAAAGTACAGTAAAAAAAGTCATGGATTTTCTTGTGCCCATCTTCTAAGATAGATTCCAAGTTAAATTTTTTTGGAAGAGATGTAAGAAAATTACGGTTATAGTGACAGGGTGTGAAAGTAATGTTCACTGGCTGAAAAAAGAAAAAATCTTGCTGTCTCTGTATTTTTTCTATTTAAGAAAACGTTGGAGCCTTTGGTGTTGTTTTTGGGAAATTAAAAGAACCTTGGCGATCTTGGCGTTTTGGTTTTGTAAGTACTGAAAAAATTTTGGGAGCCCCCATTGTTTTTTTTTTTAATTTTTAACGAATCTGGGAGTTCTGCTTTCATTTTAAAAAAATTGAAAAATCCATATTTTTTCCTTAAAAGAATGCTGAGGCTTCTGAAGTTTCGTTTTACATAAAGATTAAAAGAACCTTGGAGCTAGGGTATTTTGTTTTTAAAAGTATTGAAAAAAATCTGGAAGGCCCTGGTGGACTTCATTCTAGACACAATTTGAAAAAATTTCGAAGGCGCTTGCTATTTTCAGTTTGAAATGAATTGAAAAAAATTGGAGTCTCCCTGCTTTTTTTATTTTCATTTTGAAAAAATCTTAAGACACCTACCTACTGTATCATTTTTTTGTTATTTTAAGAAATAATATAATAATGATAATAATATTTTTCATTTAATGTTGGGACTTCTGTCATTTTGTTTTCCAAAAAAATTAAAAGACCCTTTTTTGGAAAGTCATACTATAAAAGGGTTTAGAAAAGTCATAGTTGGCTAGTGTTTTCATTATTTTTAAGTGTGAAAAATCTTGAGTTCTAGTGTGTTTTTTTTTAGTTTAAAAAATGTTGATATTAAAAAAATCATGAAAGCCTCTGGTATTTGCAATTTGAAAAAAAAATTAATTAAAAGAATCTTGAGAATTCGTAAACAAAGATCTCAAAGAAACTCAAGAGTTAATAATATTTGCATTTTGAAAAAAAAAAAGAAAAAATCTTAACCTCCCCAGTATACTTTTTTTTGAAAAACTTAAGAAAATCTTGGGGCTCCTGATTTTTTATTTTTCAAAGAGATTAAAATAACTTTTGTTTCTGAAAATTTTGAAAAATTCTTGGAAGCCCGTAGTGTTTTTTAGAAACAATTTTTGAAAATTTTATGGGTGACTGATTTTACATTTTTTTAAATTCAAAAAGTTTTGGGATCCTAGTGTTTTTTATTTAAAAAAATCTTGGTGTTGGTGTTTCATTTTTGAAAGTATTGGAAAAATCTTGGGAACCCGTTGTGTGGTGTATTTATTAGTTTTTAAATTCAAAATTTTTTAGGTTTCTAATAGTGTCTTGGTGTTTTGTTTTTGAAAGAAGTTAAACGAATCTTGGAAGCCTCTGGTATTTGGCTTTGAAAGAATTTAAAATAATCTTGGAAATTCCTGGTTCTTTCTTTTTGAAAAAATGTGATCATTTTGGAAACATTTACAGTTTTCATTTTGAAAAATATTGAAAGAATGTCAGGAGCTTCTGGTGGTTTTTGGAAGGAATTTAAAAGAATCTCGAAGGTTCCCGGTGTTTTGATTTTTAAAGAATCTTGGAAGATTTTACTGTTTTATTTTGAGAAAATCTGAAGGTCCTTACTATACTTTTTTTATTTTAAGGAATATTGGGACTCTTGCTGTTTTAAAAGAACCTTGAAAGCAGGGATTTTTTTTGAAAGTATAGGAAATATCTTGGGAACCTACAGAGTTTTTTGGAAAGATTTCTTTTTAATCTCATTGGTGGCTGGTGTTTCCATTATGTTTTTATTGAAACCGCTGGGGTCTCCAGTGCCTTTTTTTAATTTAAAGAATAACGACGTCCCTGATGTTTTGTTTTTGAAAGAAATCAAAAGAACCATGAAACCCGTACTGTTTGCATTTTGAAAAAAAAATCTACATGTCCCTAGTGTACCATTTTTTATTTAAAAGAATCCTGCTATTTTTTTTAAACAGACTAAAAGAGTCTTGAGGGAGACTCCGATATTTTGAATTTGAAAGTAATCAAAGAATCTTGGAAACTCGTGGTGGTTTTTTGAAAAAAAAAAAATATATATATATATACATATATCATAGATTCCATGATTCTTTATTCAAAAAATCCTGGAATCCTAGTGGTTTTTTTATTATTTAAAGAAATATTGTAGTCACTGGTTTTTATTTTTGGAAGAAATTAAAAGAATCTTTGGAATCTGTGCTGTTTTTTTAAATACAAAAAACTTTTCATCTATATTGTTTTCTTAATTCAAAAAATATTGACGTCCTTAGTGCTCGTAATCTTTGCATTCGGAAAAAAAATTATCTTATAGAATTTGAATTGAGATTATAAACCATAGAGGCGTTGGTGTTTTGTTTTTGAAAGAACCTTAAAGAAATTTAAGAGCTCGTACTTTCCTCATTTTAAAAAATGAAAAAAGAATATTGCGGCTCTTGGAGTTTTGTTTTTCAAAGAGATTAAAAGAACCTTGAAGACCCTGACATTTTGTTTTTGAAAGTATTGAAAGAATCTTGAAAACCCGTGGTCTTTTTTTAGAAAGCATTTTTGCAAAATCTCATGGGTGGCTGTTTTTACATTTTTTTTTTTTATTAAAACTATCTTGGGCTTACTAGCGTTTTTTTTATTTAAACAAATGGTGTTTTGTTTTTGAACTAAATTAAAAGAATCTTAGTAGCTTCTTGTATTTTCTTTTGAAAGAATCTGAACGAATTTTGGGAATTCTTACTGTTTTCGTTTTGAAAAATATTTGAAAAAATCTGTCTTCTGCTCCATAGTTTTTTTTTTAATTTTGAATAATGCTTGGTTTCCAGGTGTTTTGTTTTACAAACAGTTTAAAAGAATCTTGGTGATTTCTGGTGGTATTGAAAGAATTTTGGGAGTCTCCCTAGAAAGAAAATGGAAATGTCTCGGGGGTCCCTACTATTTTCAGTTAATTATTATAATTTCTACCGTGTTTATTTTAAATTTCAAAGACTTTTGGGGTCCCTAATGTTTTGTTTTTGAAAATATTGAAAGAATTTTGGGAGCTCCCGGTGTTTTGTTTTACAAAGAATTTGAGTCAATCTCGAAGGTTCCTGGTGTTTTGTTTTTGAAAGTATTGGAAGAATCTTGGGAACCTGAAAAAATATATATATTTCTATTATTTTTTTAAACAAAAAAACAACAATTTGGACATAAAGTGTTTTTTTAATTTAAAAAATTTTTTTTATTCTTGTTTTTCAAGGAAAGTAAAACAATCCTGGAGGCTCTGGTGTTTCGTTTTTCGAAGAGTTGAAAGAATCTTGGAAACCCCTAGGGTTTTTTAAACAATTTTGAAAAATCTCATAAGTGGTTTCCTTTTATTTAAATTCAAAAATATTTAGGATTGCTAGTGTGTTTTTCTTATTTGAAGAAATGTTGACGTTCCTCGTGTTGTATTTTTGAAAGCAAATTTTCGGAAAGAATTTTTAAAAACCTCATGGTATTTCCATTATTTTTTAAATGCAAATAATTTGGTTCTATAGTGTATTTTTTATAATTTAAATTGCTTCGTTTCTGAAAAAAATTAAAAGAATTTTGGAAGCTTTGAAAAAAATTGAAATTATACCATTTTTTTTAATTAAACAGATGTTGGGGCTTCTGAAGTTTTATGTTTTAAAGAGATTGATGTTTTCTTCTCTTGTCCTTGAAGTACAATCGGACAAATCCTACTTCTCTAAAAAATATGAAATTTGAGGCTGAGATTTTGGTTTTACGGAAACGAGAGACCACTCTTTTCGTACTTTCGGGATCATGAAACGTCGAGAAAACATGAAACTGGCAAGTCGCCCGATGGACTCGATTACTATACATACTTTCTTAATTTGCTAGCGAGTATGGATAAACAAATTTTGTGACACCAAACCGTAACACTGGAATAATATACACTCATTTTTGCCCCAAATTTACCAACAGCAATTATTTGGGGTCATTTTTACCATTTCACTGCTAATACTTACATGTATTTAAAACATCTGTACAAGACACCATTTAATACTTCCCCGCTTATTATCCCGTAAACAGGACATTACCGCACCCCCACGTTCATCCCTGTCGGACTGGCCCTCGCATTTGTTGATTATTTCCCATCTCAGCCCCAAAAAACTCTGCAACTTTTCCGGAATAATCAATTAAGCTTTGGGTCGAGTCTCGAGATTGAGAAGGGTCCCGATGGAATCGTCTCATTTTGCGGCTGCTGAAATGACATCCTCTTTTTAGCCGGCTGATCCGCGCGTTCCAATTAAACTAGTGGCCGGGTTGGGGATGAGGACACCGAACAATGCAACCCTCCCGTCGTCTTGCTGAATTATTACCGACATGCTGCCGCTGCTCCTTGCCGCCGCTCCCCGTAATATGCCCGCCATTGATTGACAGCAGAGCCACTCGAAGACCCCACGGATACCGCCGGCGGCCGTTCTTGCCGGGATTTCGAGAGGACTTGCGGCCTGCCGACCTCGAGGGGGTTAATAGAGGACGAGGGTGCAGGTGGGCGAAGTGGCGGAGTATCGGTTTAATGGGAGAGCAGGCGACGGGCGTTGATTTTTTTCTAGCGTTTTGTACAGGAACAAATCAGCCTTTGAGGGAAAATAATAATAATAATAATAATAATGCTGATGTGTGCCAAAAATATAGAAGAATTTTTATAAAGAAAGAAAGTAAAAAAGAATGAAGCTTGAATTAACAAAATTAGAAATTTTTACTTCGCTTTAATTTTAAAAAATAATCGCAATTTTTCCCCACAAAAAGTCCAGGGTTTCCCAAGAT